AACCAGCTGGCTGGAGAAAAGACATGGGTATATTCTCAGTTACTCCAGACTGCCTCAGCTGAGGATGACACTAGGGCGCAGCCATCAGGGGCTGAGGGCAGTGCTGGGTACCTGCTGTCTCTGAGCTGAGCACTGGCCTGACTCAGAGCACTCACCAGGTGGAATCTTCCCGTGGGCTTTGCCTTCTTTACTCCTTTTCTCCCTGCCTGCTTTTTGGAGGTCAGACTAGTTTTCTCTTGGGTAGTGAGAAAGACTAGCTTGGAGAGGATCCAGGAACAAAAAAAATACTTATCAATGGTATCTAAAGGGTGAGTGGCAAGAGGCTGGGGACAGACTTTTGTCAGTGGTGCCCAGTGACAGGACAAGGGGCAACAGGCACAAACTGGAACCCAGGAGGTTCCATGTCAACAGGAAGAAAAGCTTCTTTACTGTGAGGGTGGCGGAGCCTGGAGCAGGCTGCCCAGAGAGGCTGTGGAGTCTCCTTCTCTGGAGAGATTCCAAACCCATTTGGACACAGGGATCCTGGGGCACCCTGCTACAGGTGAGCTGCTGGAGCAGGGGCTTAGACAAGGTGATCTCCAGAGGTCCCTTCCAACCCCCACCATGCTGGGATTGTGAGAACTAAGTAATGGATGGGCAGAGAGAGAGAAGGGACGTGAACCTGCCTTCTTTGGTGGCCATGAGCTGTTGGATCAGGTCACTCCATTCCGAGGGTCTGGCGCTCACGTGGAGTAAGTCAGAGAAGCCACACTGCCTCTGGTGCACCCCAGTTCTTGCAGAGGGCTGCTGAAAATAAACCTGGAGTAGGAGCAGTTGTTGAGACACCCAGGAGGGGCAGAGTGCCTGGTTCACATACACGACAGGTCCCAACTCAACCTTTACAAGCAGAACTCCGTCAGACCATCTCGTTTGGTCAGTCTCCAACCCGTGCCACAGCGATCTCGTTCTGCCCTCCCAACACCACCACCCGGAGCTGCGCCTGGCAGCGCTGGGAGGCGGCGAGCGCGGCACCAGGCACTGACACTGTTTGCTCTGCAGCCCGACCGCCTGCGGGACGAGGAGATCACGAAGCTGGAGGATTGCCTCAAGAGCCTCAGCCTTCACTGGAGGAGCAACAACAATGTGGCTGTGAAAGACCATGCCTCCCTGCACCCCCCAGCTCTACCTTCTTCTCCAGGCAGCTCCCTTGCCCCACAAGCCACCTTCTTCTTTCAGGGACAAGAGTTCGGTGAGTAGCTAGAGCTGACCAAGAGACCCCTTGGTCTTCTTCGCCTCAAAGCCCAAGAGGGAGGATTAGTGTCACTCCATATTGGGTCTACCTCAGATAAATCAGGGATTTCCCAGCATCCCATAAGGAAGGAATCACAGTAGTCCTAAGATCCTGCCACACTGCTTCAGATCAGGCCTCAGCCCGTTCCCCGGGGTGGCACAGAACCACACCCTTCAGAGAGTCTGCGTCCCTTCCAGGTTCTTCACATTTTCAAACTCCTTAATACTGACAAGAACACAGTAGTTTTCTCCTCCTCTGTGGCCTTGGGTTGAGGTCAGCAGTGAGGCTTGCTCCAGCTGATTGTCCCTTTCCAGTGTCAGAGGGGCCATCAGAGACACCTCCTGCCCGTGGTGGGACAGTCCCTTCAGCTTCACTGCTACCAACTCACAGCGCTGCCCTGGTGTTACAACACCAGAGGACAGGCAGAACAGCTCCACACCACTTGAATAACTCTCTGTGGATGCTGAACACAATCCCTGCTCCCCAGAACATTGAGCAAACCTTGGATGGGCCCGAGATGCATCACACCAGCCATTGGACCTCTGTGTTTTACCTGCCCTCTGTCTCTTCCAGCCAACAGAACGCTCACACCCGACGACCACCAGAAATTTGCCAAGCTGGTGTCCAAGAAATGGAAGCAAGTGGGTCGCTCTTTGCAGAAGAGCTGCCGGGCCCTGCGGGATCCTGTCATTGATAACCTGGCCCTCGAATATGACCGAGAGGGACTGTATGAACAAGCCTATCAGATGCTTCTCAGATTTATCCAGTCAGAGGGGAAGAAGGCCACAATAGCACGGCTGATCCCAGCCCTGGAAGAAAATGGTCTTATCAGCTTGGTCGAGGAGCTCTTGGGCCTCCGTTCCAACGAGGACTGCTCCTAGAGCCCAAAGGGTGATGGCATTGCTAAGGGCTTTCTTGCTTTAGCTACTGTATGAGACTGCTGCCAGTGTCTGGGAATGTAAAGTCCTGACAATCACCACAGGTGTCCATGTAAGTGGGAATGCCCAGGGGAGAGCTTCTGTGCTCACAGAAGCCAGCACGGACCTCTGACGTTCCTTATTTCATTCTGTTTCCAAAAGTCAGCGTTGCCTTCCCCTGAATTTCAGGACAGAAATGTTACAGGGAAGCAGCCAGACAGAGAACCCTAGGGGAGGGTGAGGGGAAAAACAAGGAGGGCATCTCAGAGGGTTTCTCTGGGAAGCAGACAGTGCCACTGTTTCTCAGGCTGTGGCCCAGTGCCACCAGAGAGCTGCAATATATTTTTATATTCAAGACATTTATGGCCTCAGGCGTAACACCGAGCAAAGAAGGGAAAATCAGGAAAAGCCAAGTTCATACTATTTTCCTTCTTCATTTTTCAACGGAAGAACATCTGCAGCAAGTGCATCTGTCCTGCCCTACTCTAGTGTAGCTCCTTGCAACTCTCACCACCTGAAGGTTTCTCTTTTACCTGAAACAGCCATAGTCTCCCACACAGCACAAGATTGCTGCTGTAGAACTCATTTCAGGCACTGAACAAGCAATGTGTACAAACAAATTCAGAGCTCGATTCCCAGCTTTTTGGACCATGGTGACAATAATACATTGACCACATTGTGCTGAGCTCTCGCCCACCAACCCGAAGGACCTTTAATCTGAAAAGCAAACCACAGTGCTGGAAGGGAAGGAGTCTCTGAGTCACCAAATCATGGGTGGAGGGTGAATTGGAACTGCTGCAGCCTCAAGGACCATCCTGACCCCAGAGCTGAGCTGTGGCCTCTGACCAGCTGGCTGCTAGTGCCTTTTCTTCTCAACCACCTGCCCTGGGCCTGCTGAGCTTACTGGAGAGGACAACTCATGCCATCGTGTCTCCCAGCAGTTGGGCTCTGCACAGAGCCCTTCCCCGGCGGTCTTGTCACTGTGTGACAACTGGGCACCAGCTGCTGTGCCTGGAACCTGCCCCAATTTTGAGGGTAAAAATGGCTTAAAAGACAAAGCCCTCGATCTCCAGGGCTGACTTGTGCTTTTGGTTCCAGTGGGAGAAGCTGTCTCCTGGTATGGCTGACAGAGACTGCAACCGAGCAGAGTTCATACCTTTGTCCCTCAGCAAGCCTGAGGAACTTGCCTTTTTTTCTGCAGATTTTGAATCCCCAAGGTTACGTGCACAGCATGGAAAGGAAACGGAAGGAGCTAAAGATGGGGAGAGCACTGCCAGGGCGTGAGTGAATCTCTTTTCATATCACCCTTAGCTGCAAAGGAAGCAGGAATTCACACAGGCACCATCTCTGCAAAGACAATGGCTCCGTGGCATTTTATGAAGCCATTCTACACCAGTGCTGTTGCAGCCTCATCTCCCCCTTTTTTTGCTCCATGCCTTTTCCCCACCTCCCAGTGCTCTCCCCTAAGGGAAGCAATTACCTCTCTGACACTTTTGCTTTTGGGACCAGCACGGCGATGCTGATGTTAGTTGGTTTAGGCTGCTGTGGAACCATACCTCAAAGCATGTAGTTTTCCTGCCAGATCCCAACTGAGGAACTTTGGCAGCAACCCACTTGGCAAATGGTTTTATTTTGTTTTGGGCTTGTATTTTTTTTTTTTTCTTAAATAATCAGAAACTTGAAAATTCTTTTTAACAGCAAGAGGCTTTGCTTTTGATTTTGCAAAAATTTTTTTTTAGAAAACAAAGTTACATATGTAGCCCACTGTTGTTTGTAATGAATATTTCTGAGCTCTCAGAATAGCTGTTCGTGTGCACAACTTTCATACACAGTTACAAAGCAGCCATTCAGCAGTGAGAGCTGATGCCTTTCATAGCATTTGCTAATGCTCAAAATGAGAAAGGCTTCTTATTCAGCATCTACTTCAAAAAATTTCTTTGGTGCTCTTACTGTATTGCAGAGGACCAAGCACAAATGCTTCTTTCCTTAATGGAAACCTTGTGCATTCTATTGCTCTGCCAGCAATTGGCATATGTGTTTCCTCTTACTCACAGATTCCCTCTCAAAAGGGCCATTGAGTACTGAAGCTCCTGGCAACTCTTCTGGAATATCATCATCTTTAACAGCATTCACAGGTACCTTCGTTGCAGAGGCTCAAGGAAAAGGGTTTTCCAGTGATATTCTGTGGTGGAATTGTCTTGAGTACATGGCATGGTTTGGGACTGTGGCAGTGGCTGTTTCATACATCCTTTTCCATGACTGGTCATCATCACCAGATGCAATAAAAACTCAGTTCTGGTCTCAAGCAGACTGCTTCCTGCTAAAGAGTAAGTTTCTTTAGTATTATTCATCACAAACAGAGACAATTTTCACAGAAGCCTTAGAATAAAATAGACCGATTGGACCACGAGTACACAGTGTCATTTGCATTAATTTGGCATTTGTCTGGGGTTCGACTCTGAATTTACTTCTGATTTACCCAGAAGATTCAACAGCAGTTTTACACCATTGTGCAAAGATAAGAGAACTCACATCACACACAGGGAAGGAAGAAGCACTCACAAAGGAAAAAGGAAAAGGAGAAAACATCAGCAGAGATTTGCTGAAGAAACCAGAGGTGTGTCTTCACGGATGGAGGAACCAAAGCAAGCTGGATCTTGAGGGTGCTTGCTGATGCACCAGAAGTTCTCCTATACTATTCCATAATGCTCTAATCGGCACCCCTGGTGACTGCCTGGCTGTTGAATGAGGAGCACACTTGTGCCTTCTTCCTCGCCTGTGCAAAGTTGGTTGCACCCATACTGCTACCCAGATGCCAGACATGCCAGCAACGCTTCTCTGCTACTATTTATACTGATTAGCTCATGTCTAGGGTGTGAGATAAGCTGGCCAGCTTGGCCTTATCCCCTAACAGCTCTGCTCTATGTATTGAGATATAGCTGGAAAACAAAAATTTCAGGGTGGTTGTGGTGTGTCAGAATCAAACATGAAGCAAATAAAGAGGCTAATCAGGTATATATAACAAATTAAACAGACAGACCATAACACAAACAGCAGAGACCAGGCCAAAACACACTTAGAGGGAGGGATCCAAGAGGGCTTTTTTTTTCTGTGGTACAGATTGTTTTTGTAGTTTTAGCAATGTTTCAGATTTGAAGGAGGCTCCTTTTGGTCTGCCAGAAAGAATAAAAGGTCCTTCCAAAGGAGGGTTTGAAGGATTTGTTTTGGCATAGCTGAGCTCCAGCGTTCAAACAGGTAGTAACAGAGAGGAGAATGAAAGCTAAAATGCTCCCCAGATACACTTTGATATGAGGTACCTTGTAGAAGTAAAGTTGAGAGTACACCCTGATACAGCACTGTCACAAAGGAAGATATCAAACTGTCCTGGAGGGCAGAGCCAACAAGAGGCCAACATTAGCCCTCTTAGGTACACGTTAAAGATACACCATAAATTAATTCATCTGCTGAAGACTGTGATGCACCATCACAGCAGACAGGAAAGGTGCTTTCCTCCAGCAGCTTCAGTTCTCATGTGCCACAGCTGCTTACAGTGGACCACTCTGTCAGGTGAAAACAGGATTTACCTCAAAAATAAGAAAAGCGTTCAGCTTTATTTGTTGGAAGCAGTTGAAAATCACAAGGTGGACTTCAATCATAAAATTTTCTTCCAGATTTTCACAGCAAGTCCAATTAAAAACAATGCTGACAGCTCACAGGGACAGTTTCTAGGTTTCCATTTTTAGCATCAGCCCCACCACAGAGGAGATGGATATCTGGACTATTTTTAATGCCAAGTGTGGTGCTAACGTCACAGCACTGCAGCTGAGAGCTGAGGGAAGCTTCTTGTTCAGGGAAGCTGTTGGTGGTTGGTGTGGACACTGGTAAAGGACTTTTCCCAGTGTGAGAAAACTGGGGTTTTCCTTACCTGGTAATTTTGCCTTTCATTTAAAAATGCAGCTCAGCATCGAGAAGCCATCCTGCTGCCTGGGTCACCATGTCACCTCCCCACTGCTGTTTCAAAAGGTACTTTAGAGCCACCTCCACATCACAAGCTGCCCACAGGCTCTGAAACTAAAAGTGAGTATGTACAGCAACAAGAAGCCTCAAATTCACTTCAACTGCTGACTTAGTGTAGCTGAAAATTCTGGTGTAAGCATGAACCTCTACTCGAGTGTGAGTCAAGGGTTTCTTTGGTCTAACCCACATACTGGGGTGGGTACATGAAGTTGGTGAGATCCACCGCTTTACACCAGGCAAGAGTCTGGCCGTTTGTCTTTTGTCCAGAGGTGGCTCAAACACTGAAGCAATTTAAGGCCTAGAGTCAAAAATACATTTTTTTTTTTGTCTCCTCTAGATTGAATTCTAAAGCCACTGACAGGATTTGGCCATACATGTCTAACTGAACTATGTAGGAGATGTGTGGTCAAGTCCTTTAGTCATCGGTGGAAAAATCTCTTGTTGACCTTCTAATTCCAAATTCCCAGGATAATTCAGCATCAGATCTGGATCAGCCATCTACAGCTGTGGACTGCAATGCCACGTGTACTCACGTCTGGGACGTTCAACCTCCAACAAACTGGCTTTTATAGAAAAAAGCACTTCGGTCTATTTGTTTCTCCTTTTTTTTTTTTTTTCTAATAAATATATACTTTTGGTTAAAAATGCCTCAGAGACTTTCATTAAACACTTAAAGCAGTAGTAAAAAAGGAGTTCACTGAAGTTCTATCACCAGCTCTTGGAGGAGCATCTAGCCAAAGTGTCTGGAATCACAATACACTCCTGCCCAATGTCACACACTTCTACTGACACACCAAGGCTGGTGTACCATCTAGATCAGATGGTGTCTCCCAGTGCCATTATATATCTGGGACTCCTCCAAGGTCACAGCATCACTGTAATCATGGAATCATCGGATGGTTTGGGTTGGGAGAGACCTTAAAGACCATTAGGCCATGGCCATGGGC